GCGAAACGCGTCCATCGATTTTCATGATCTATGTCTCATTTTGCTTAATGGTTATGTGACTTTGCGTGAAAGTAATACGACTTGCCCTTTTTTCCGTTTTGGATTTTTTTATGAATTTAAAAAATAAAAAGATTTAATATTTTAGGCAAAAAATATATTTTTTCTTCATACATTTATTTTTACCGGCAAAACTGTTGATTATATAAAAAAACGTTATATGAACAGATTAAAGGAATTTTAATTTTTAATTTTTATTTTAATTATTTGAGCAATTAATTATTAATTTATTTGAGCAAAATCGGACTAGTGGTTCTCGAGTTATGTCAAAAAAAAGACCACCAAAGGTGACAATTTCCCCTATATGATAGTTACTAACATAACTTCTTTTTAACCGATATAACTTTCCCCGGTAGTTTGAACCCTTCCCGATCACTGACCCCTACCATTTGTCTCACAGTGTTCTTATTCCTTTAACGATTTGATAACTTCTAAACGAGCTTTCAAATAAACTGAATTTAAAAAGCATTAACCATTACTTAAAGAAAATGTCAAAAGGCTTATTTTTTAAGCGGATTAAGTATCTTGAAGACTGCTGCAAGTCTTCTTAAAATGCAAGTGGTGGTAGTATTTTTTGAATCACATTTGTTCAAAAGTATGGAACCTTTTTCACATCTAAGTACATATCGAGCCCTAACCGCCAAAATAACGTAAGCGACATTTTTTTCAAAATTTTCTTTTTGATGCAGAAATATTCCTAGAGCATCTGGATGCATTTCTGCATCAAAAAGAAAATTTTGAAAAAAATGTCGCTTACGTTATTTTGGCGGTTAGGGCTCGATATATATACAGAATCATCACCACACGCCAGAAAGTGCTTTGTGAACTGTAAATAGTTATTTATTCTACATTTTTGTGATAAAGGTATTTATATGAAATCTTCTATTATTTATGACGTAAAAAAATTGTTTTTGTAACCTATCCTAGGTACATATGCATAGCATCGGTCATATTAATAGCAACCCCATTTCAAAGTGATATGGTTTGTTACTCACGTTTATTTATTTATTTTTAAGAATTTAAAATTAGTATGTTTCACATGATTACATTAAAATGGAATAAGCTATAAAACTCATAGAAAACAAAAAACCGTTTTTTTTTTTTTAATCTATTATAGAGGGCTGCATGAATGCATTCAAAACGGCTTATGAATTATTCATATACAAAACGAATGAATGATTTTGGCTTACAAATTTTTTGCATTTGAGTGATTAGCTGTTCTGATATTTGTGTCGACATTACAAATTCAAACAAAGTGAAAATAAATTAAATTGAAATAAATGACAATTTTTTGTATGAATATCCAAAAATATTTTTTCTGTGCACATATGTATGTATGCATGTAATGCTGCGCTCCTATTATATACGAAAAAACTTGTTTGTAGAAAAAAACTTTTATCGAAATGAGTTTGAATGATTTGAATGGTTTTCTATTCATTCATCNTTGTTTGTAGAAAAAAACTTTTATCGAAATGAGTTTGAATGATTTGAATGTTTTCTATTCATTCATCCACATTCTTCCATTTGAAGGTAGAAAATATAAAGNCATAGCATCGGTCATATTAATAGCAACCCCATTTCAAAGTGATATGGTTTGTTACTCACGTTTATTTATTTATTTTTAAGAATTTAAAATTAGTATGTTTCACATGATTACATTAAAATGGAATAAGCTATAAAACTCATAGAAAACAAAAAACCGTTTTTTTTTTTTTAATCTATTATAGAGGGCTGCATGAATGCATTCAAAACGGCTTATGAATTATTCATATACAAAACGAATGAATGATTTTGGCTTACAAATTTTTTGCATTTGAGTGATTAGCTGTTCTGATATTTGTGTCGACATTACAAATTCAAACAAAGTGAAAATAAATTAAATTGAAATAAATGACAATTTTTTGTATGAATATCCAAAAATATTTTTTCTGTGCACATATGTATGTATGCATGTAATGCTGCGCTCCTATTATATACGAAAAAACTTGTTTGTAGAAAAAAACTTTTATCGAAATGAGTTTGAATGATTTGAATGTTTTCTATTCATTCATCCACATTCTTCCATTTGAAGGTAGAAAATATAAAACAAAATGTATATTCAAAACTTACAAAATTCCAAACGCTGAGTGTTTTGTATGTGAAGTAAAATATTCAAATCTAGAGTACTCTGTTTGGTAAGAAGTTTGAATGAATTCATGCAGCCCTCTAATCTATTAGTATTAGTATTATTTATTTAGAATTAAAAATTAATTTTAAGACTAAAGGGGAAGGGGCTGAGCACTAGCTGCTATGGCTATCGGCTCTAGTATTAGTAATAGTAGTAAAGAGTTAGGCGACTTACGGAAGGTTTAATGATCACGGCGAACACCTGTAATAACTACAGTGGCGACCTAGTCACCTACGTCCAGAATGTACCGAAATTATCGAAGAAGTAAATTTCCACCCTACTGAATGGTTCACCTAGAAAAAGCCAGCTTAATATACATACATACATATATCTTTCAACACATGATTTGGCTATAGTTACATTATTTGATCATAGTTACCGAATCATGTGTTGAGAAAAATATTCTTAGCTGACCTTTTTTCGGGATGTATCAGCACGGAAATTTATGAAGAAGACGAATCTGAGCCCCCAGTCGATGACGACGGAGTCGATGTTCCACCGCCTGACTGCGACGAGATATGAATAGCAAGAGCTGATAAGGTGCATGCATTAATTCTAACCCTAGAAGCCCAACATACTTAGTTCTGTGCAGTTTTTTTTAGAATATTGAAGTTTTATTAATAAAAACTACAACCATATTTATTTAAAACAACAAAGTATGAAGGCATTTTTTTGTTGAAATTAAAAAAATCCCTATTCCGTATACGTCCGTAGACATAGCTTAAGCTTTTATGGCTAATGCAGGATATGGTCAGATGAACGCATGCCCAACGACTGGAATTTAAGTGTGCTCGGCCCAATCTACAAGAGAGGCGATCCCGTAATTCGGGCCAACTACCGCGGGATCAGTCTTCTAAGCATAGGTTACACTGTCTTATCGAGCGTATTGTGTGAAAGACTGAAGCCCACCGTCAACAAACTGATTGGGACTTATCAGGTATTCACTATGCGCCAAATCTTGAAAAAGACCCGCGAGAAAAGTATTGCCACTCACCACCCATGAACCAAAAATACAAGATCACGCAACCAAGCCAGTAGCCCGTTATAATCGCATTTAGGAAAAAAGTTGGGCGATTTTGACATTAGCCGTTTGTTTACATTTGTTCGTTGCTTACAATTTGGTGGTGGCTTTTTACTGGAATTTGTTTCATTTTCGCTTGTGACAACGTGTGTACACATAAGGTAAAGAATAATTTAACACAACGACATGATTTATAGAAGAATTTGTATAATAAAAATGATTATTCATGCGTTCAACAATTACGTGGTTTTCTTCGTTCTCTTCGTTGTTTACTTCTTACAACAAAGATGGCGTCGAGATTTCGGCAGCTAGAAAATAATTTTTTTCTTTCTTTCGTTCGCGCGTGATCTTGTGTCTTTCGTTCATGTTCACCACCTATGTATTTGTTGACTTCAAAGCCACTTTCGATAGCACGAAAAGGAGTTGTCTTTATGCCGCGATGTCTGAATTTGGTACCCCGCGAAACTAATACGGCTGTGTAAAATTACGTTAAGCAATACCACCAGCTCCGTCAGAATTGGGAATGACCTCTCTGAGCCGTTCGCCACCAAACGGGGTTTCTGACACGGTTGCCACTTGTTCAAAATATAACCAACCAAAATCTGAAAAAAACCCAATTAAAAAAAAAAACAACCAAATTTGTTTTTCACGTATGTATGTATTTATTACAAAAAGCAAAATTTATTACAAACACGTATAGTTCGGGCGAAACCGAATTTTATATACCCGGCGCAGGTGTCAACTATCGTCGTTCCAACTTTCCCTAAACTACCTATAAGTCTATAACAGTCTTCTTTATTGTTGTGAGTATTAACTTGGAGTAAATGAACGTCCTCAGTTATTGAAATATGTATCGGAGTTTTCGTATATCCGAAAATTACCGTTATACGGGAAGCCGGTGCAATTTTAGTCCGATTTGAATAATTTTCAACGAGTTGCTTTTCGCTTTGGCATTTTGCTAGGTATATCTTTATTGCAAAAGAGGTGATCTTTCGATTTCTATTTTTCAATATGTTAGCAACAAATATGCGGTCGCGAACGAACGAATAATGGAAGCCGCTTTTGGCTGCAAATTCAAAAACGCAGAATATTTTAAAGCGATTAATTTTTTATTAAAGTGAAATAAAGTAAGTTCCTCCTAACATATTGCGCGTTGAAATATCTCCATTAGTTTTTTTATTTATACGGGGTCGGGTAAGGGTCACGAACGTACGAATTTTCCATAATTTTGTACATTGAAATTGAATTATAAAGCTGGTCGGGTGTTTTAAGTACCAGAAGATCAGAACGCCGAGCTGGGTCGATTTAACCAAGTCCATCTGTCTGTTGGTTTGAACGCAATTTAGCCCCTCATTTTCGAGATATCCGACTGAAATTTGGTAAGCGAGTGTATTTCTATAATGTTTTAATTATTTTTTGGAACTGTAAATATCTAATCACTATAACTTTTAGCCTCCATACAACTGATTGTTTATTTTAGCTCGCGGTCCTGGTTGACCATTCTGTGGAAATGCTCACTTTCATTGAATTTAAGTACTAAAAAGTTATTACTTTTAAGTACTTAGTTTTGTTAAAAATATTAGGTTATTTATGAGCTCGCGGTCTCTTGGGCCGGGGCCCTCTCGGTTCGTTGGCCCGTTGCAATTTGCCAGCTTTGCAGCCCATAGTTACGCCTCTGATGAGAACTGTAAACTTTGTATTTGTACCATATATATTTGGATTTTTGCCTGTCAGAAAAATACTACGAGACCCCTGGGATTTACACTTTTTTTTCATATTCCATTTTTAAATCTTCAAGATACGCCTGATATAAACATTGACATATCATTGAAAGTCATCTAAAAGGAGTATAACTGCTTACTTATTGCTTACACGTGTAATCGGTAAGGTAAGAGAATAGAAGAATCGTAGTTACTCGTAGGGCACTACTTGATTCGATACAAAAGGAAGCGCTTACCAAACGTAAGCAATGACTTTGTTAGGTCGTTCCTTGAGTGCTAAACTCACACACATACATATTCTTTATTAATCCACATGGAAGTACATACATACATACATACATACATAGTATGTTTGTATATTACACTTAACTAATTTAGTATTTTATTCTATTTCCCTTTTTATATTAATCATTTCAAACTTAATATGATCACGGGGATCCCTTTGCGTTTGCGTTTTGGGATAGTTCCATGATTGAATCTCGGTTTGACCGAACAGAAGAAACAATAGATTGCCAATAAAGCAGATGCCACCTACAATATAGAACACCACGCGCCACTGATGTACATCTTTCTGATAGTTGGGAAAAAAAATGTTTATAATCAAATTAATGTCCAATCAAAAACTTCATATATTTATCCATACCGCATCTGTGACTATGAAGCCCACTGTTAGTGGTGACAGCATACTCATAATATTCGCTACAAAACCACCCACGCCCATCAATATGCCACCGAAATTTGGCGATAGATCAATATGATTGGTGAGGAAACCTAAAGAGGCTGCCGCGGTTGCACCAACAGCTATCACCAGCAAGCCGAGCGCCAATTGGCTTTGCTCGGCGCGCATATAGCCGAGTAAAATGAGCGGCGCTACCGGCACCCATAAGCCTATGGTGTTGAACAGCTTTCGGCTAGCGTAGACACTGGTGTAACCACGTTTCATGAGGAAATTGGCCAGAGCACAAAAGACAACTGTTAGGCACATATTGGCGAGATATGGCAGTGCAGACATTAACGCATTGCTCTTGATATCCTGTCCCAGAATGCTATTCATATAGGATGGAATTTGTGTGAGAAGTGTATAAAAACACCACCCATAACTGCTTTGCGCTGCCAGTGTTATCCAAAAAGGCACACTTGTGAGTATCTTAATCCATGGTGTTTTCAGAGGTGCTTGCCCATGCGGCGACTTGGCGGAAGTCCCCAAAGTAGACTCGATCATAAATTTTTCTTCCACCGATATCCATTTACAGTCGCTGGGTGAACGAGCGCCTAAAATGTACCAGACCAGAGCCCAAAGCAGGCTGACAACGCCGGAGAAATAGAATATGCCTGGCCAGCCAAGTGGAGATGTAGCTATCCAACCGCTTACCAACAGCATTACAACGGTACCAAACGAGAGGCCAGTGTAGCAAAATGTGCCAAGTGTGCCGCGCTCTTCGGGTGGCACCCATTTGGAAAGCAGGGTATGTATTGAAGAGAATATGCAACCCTGTATGAGTCCTTGTGTCAAGCGAAGCGCCAGCAGTAATTGCCAATCACCAATACGAGCGCTAAGTGGCGTGAGCAGCGCTAGCACTGCGCTGAGGGATATGCTACCAAACAGCATCACTTTGCCACCAAATCGGTGCGCCAACTGACTACCCGGTATTTGTGTAACAAAGTAGCCCCAAAAGAAGGCGCTGAGCAAATAGGATTTCGTCCTCTCCGACCACTGGTATTCCTACGAGAAAGACGAGAGATTTTCATGTAATAATAGGTGTATGTAAGGAATATATCATGTATATGTTAGTATATAAGCGGTTGTCATACCTCAAAGTCCGGATTGGTTGAATTCTTATCCATCATTGGCACAATCGCTACTGAAAGGTTGACGCGTTGCATCAGCGTCACCGATAAGCCAAGAAATATTAGCAAACATTGCAAGTGCCGGGTGCCGAAGAGCGGCCCTGAAATGTAAAAAAAGACTATTTAAAATTTTGCATGGATGTGCTTTGTTTTCGCTTTTTCATTGCGTATAGCTTTGGAGAGAAAACAGCTGCCATTCTATTTCATTCAATTCGAAACGAGT